CTCTCCCTCACCCTCTTCCTGTTCACCTGGAGCTCCATGGAGTTCCTTCTGGGACGGAGGGACCAGAACCGTACCAGGCACGGGGTGTGGGCTCTCTATGCTTTTGTGACTAGCAGGGCTGGGGAGTGGAACCCTGTTTTCAGCATTTCCCTGCTGAACGGTAAACAGATTCAGAACATTTCATAGAAAAGCCAGCAGACCAAATAAGATAACTCTTTCCAGGCAGGAGGCTAGTAAGTGAAATTCCAGTGGGATGCTAACTTTTCCTGCAGTTTCCTGCAATTCCAGGGAAGAACAGAGAGCAGCCAGCCATTCCATTATTTATAATTCTGCCCAGAAAAGATTTATTGAATGCCTACTATGTGCAAGGAGCCAAGCTGCAGACAGTGAAGAATAATTCAGACAAGCGCCCCCAGGAAGCTGGTATTCTGGGGTGGGCAAGGGGTTAAAACCACCATCTATCACCTGATTCCAAGCATGACCGGAGAGTCGTGAGAATGGATCCCTTAAAAGATTCAGGGATTTGGATGGAAGAAATCACTTTCCTCTGGGGCTCGGGGGAAGCCTTCCAGAATGTGGAAACAGCTGTGTGAAGGCTTGGGATGTGGGTAGAATTTTAACGATGAGACAGGAGCTGGGGGGGGGGGGGAGAAGGGTGATACGGAGCTAAAAGGATGGGCAAAGATGCAGAAACAGACAACACTCAAGGCACGAGGGCCTCTGGAACCAGCATTCCTGTTCCAGACACCAGAAATCCGGCATTTCTAAGAGGAGATGACTTGTCCAAGGTCCCTGAGGCCAGGACCCTGTAACCGCAAAGGTATGGCTTCTCTACCTTTCTGCCTCTTGCTGGTCTCCCAGATCGCTCCTGGTGGAACACGCTGCCCCATCAATAAGCCCCCAACCCAACCTCGCCAGGTGCACTGATCTAGGAGTCCAGGAACCAGTCCCACATTTGGCTGCAGCTTGCCATGGGGTCTAGAAGAACGCATTTAATTGCTGTGGGACTCAGTTTGCTCAGGGATCCAATGGGCATCCTGGAGACCCCAAGCTCAGTGCTTCCAGAAGGTTCTGAAAGCTTCCCCTAGCCAGGGAGGACCATAACCCAGCCACCTCTGCAACGTGGGATTAGTCGCTTAGAGGCAAATCTCCACAGAGGGGGCCTTGGCCTAGTGACATTCTCCCTAAATTCTCTTGCCACCCCCGCCCCCACCCAGCTGCTACATCTGCATTTTCCTCCTCTGCTTACTCCTGACACCCCACCTCTTTCCAATTACCCACCCAGGCCCAGAGCAATGTCCTTGGTGGCTCAACACATGCAACACTATGGGTGTCAAAAATGCTACCCGAGACTGGGGTGCAGAAGCGGAATCCCCCAAAGCAGGGCTTTCACCACTTTTCATTAAAGACAAGCAAAGACCCCCAGACAGAGACAGACAATATCCTGGCAGGCTTTTATTCGGTGGCAACATTCCTAAACTCCTTTGGGTTTCTGCAAATGCCAACTGACCACAGCACCTCCCAGAAGGTGACCCATCTAGCTCTCCCTCAGTACCCAGGGGGAGAGGTTGTCCCTCCCCCTGCTCTGATCACGTAGAGCTTCTGCTCTATTGTAAAAATATGTGTGTGTGTGACAAAATGATAGTTTCAAAACATGCAGGGTCCAGGCACTGTGGGCAGCCAAGGCCTGGGCAATTCCAGCCAGTGCTGTGGGGCTTGATGCAAGAGGGGCTGACTGCTCAGGCCTCGGGCAGCTTGAGCAGGCTGTCGTGTTTGCAGGGCCAGCCCCAGGGCAGAGGTCAGCCGGGGCTGCAGCAACAGGCCCCGCACCTGCGGGCCTAGGAGTTGGGTCCTAGTTACCCAGACAGGCGAGGAGAGGGCTCCAGGAATGAGCTGTCTGGACTCCCCGGGGCACTGACTACTTCCGGGATGGCCTCACTCTAGGCATTTGGGAGCTCCCAACAGTAAGACATCAATTTCATAGCAGCTCAAATCTGCTGACCACTGACTCTACTATAGCAGGGGCTTGTGCTAAGCATGTGTCATGCGTTTGCCTTGAAATCCACACAACTACACAGCTATTTTAAGATGGTAACTACTACTGTCCCTGTTTTACAGTCGAGGAAAATAAGGCTTAGTCACACAGCTAGGAAGTGAGGGACCCAGCGGGGTGGGGGGATGGGGTAGGTAGGTGGGGGGAGGGACGGGACTGACTCCTGAGTCTAAAATCTCCTCCACACTCTCTGACGGCGTCTAATTAGATCTGAGCCCGATGCCTCGGAGACTGCATAGCAGCTCTGGTTAGAACATCAGCCATGAGAGGGCCTTCAAATCTGAGAAGGAGATGGAACCTGAGGGAACGTCTCATGGCACCACCTCCTTTTATAAAGGAAACGCCGAGGTCCCGAGCGGGGCTGGGACCCGGCCCGGAAATGATCCCTGAACACTAGCTTCCCAGCCACTTTGCAAGCCTCCTGTCTGCAGGAAGGGTCTTCTGCTGATTGACTTTCCAAGGTGCAAGACAGTAAAATAAGACGTTGCTCTAGGGCCGTGGTCGGCAAACTGCGGCTCAGAGCCACATGCAGCTCTTTGGCCCCTTGAGTGTGGCTCTTCCACAAAATACCACTGCCTGGGTGAGTCTATTTGGAAGAAGTGGCGTTAGAAGTTTAAGTTTAAAAAATTTGGCTCCCAAAGAAATTTCAACCGTTGTACTGTTGATATTTGGCTCTGTTGACGAATGACTTTGCTGACCACTGCTCTAGGGCAAATGCATGCCCAGGCACTGTGGGCAGCCAAGGCCTGGGCAATTCCAGCCAGTGCTGTGGGGCTTGATGCAAGAGGGGCTGACCGCTCAGGCCTCGGGCAGCTTGTAACAGCGGCCCACCCAACAGCTATGAGCGTTAAGTGGGAAAGCACAGGTAGAGCACCCGGCACCCTCAGGCACACAGTAGGAGCTCACTGAAGGCTGGTGCCCCCCTGCACTTTCTGAGACTCCTGGGAGAGAGAAGCAAAGAGCTTTGGCCCCGGGGGAATTCTGTAGGGACTCCTCTGGGGTGACCCGGAGTTTTGTGGGGGAGAAGGGAATGGCAGACAGTATTTAATCTTTGCTCAGCCCTGTGTGCGGAGCTCCACATTCATCATTTATTTGATCTTCAGATCCTTTCCACAACATCTCTGAGTCCCTGGTGGCTGCAGAGTAAGAGGAGGGCCCCTCCTTTCCTTTCTCTCTCCCTCCCTTCTTCCCTTCCTCCCTCCCTCCCTCTCTCCCTCCACTTCCCACGTACCCAGTCTCCAGTCCAGAGGTAGCTTTCTCGCTCAATTTATGGGTAAGGAAACTGAGGCTTAGCGAGGTGAAGGCACTTGCCTGAGGTCACAGAGGGAGGGACTCACATCTCAAACTCCACTGGACACCCAGCTGACTCCCAAGAGTGCCTCAGGCAGAGAAAGTATTCTGAAACAAACCCCTGGGATCCTTGTCCCCTGGTTCCCTGGCCTCTGGGATCACATGCTGGTCACATAGATAAGTGATGGGGGAGGAGATGGGGATTTGCCACTGAACTTTGCCTCTGGTCAGGCAGTATCTGAGTATCAGTGAAAAGCAGCCCTGAAGGTCAAGGCCCAGGGCCAAGGCTTACAGACCTGCCTGCCCTGCCTAGGGCCACTGAAAGGGCAAGCAGTCCCCTTCCCTGCCAGGAGGGTGTGCAATCAGCTGGGCAGATGGGCCAACGCCTCTCCATGCTCCAGGCTTTAGACACCAGTCCAGCTTCATCTGCTGAGATCTTTTCCCAGAGACCGCACTCCTTGGTGTGCAGCCTGATGTTTTTGGGGGCCGGGCCAGGTGCTCGGACCCGAGACAGGTTACTCATGGGGAGCTCTGCGATGCAGATAGATGCTGACCCCCCAATACATCAGGTGAGACCAACCCAAGTCCTAAGAGCAGATTTTTAGGGCGGCCCTTGGGGCACCCCATTATCCTCAGACAGATGTAATCACTGGCCAGCACAAGGGGTGAAGGCACTTGTCCGAGGTCACAGAGCGAGGGACCCCCGCTGGAACCTGGGCTTCAGGGGCAGAACTGGAAGGCTTCAGCGTGCGGTGCCTCAGAACCCTCCCACTCATGTAGTATTCCGGCACGAAAACAAAACAAACCATCTTTTCTCCTTCCCAGCTGCATCCGGTCTCCTTCTCCTCACAGCCAACTCTCTAACTGCTGCACAGGAGGCCTGTCCAGCCCCTGCCCGTGCAACACCTGTCCGCCCCAGCTGCCCATGGCCCTGCCCGCAAGGTCCTGCTGGTGACACCCGCACATCTCAGTGGGGAGGGGCTGCATGGGAGGGGGGGAGGAGGGGTACAGGAGGAGGGACTCCCCATATCATGCTTTCTAAACCCTGCTGGAAGCTCACCTCTCCACCACACCCCGACGCACACCCCGACAGTGCCCCCAGCTCCCAGCGGTTCCCAGAGCCGGACAGCACCGCGTGTGATGCCCTGTCTCCTAATGACTCCCCGAGTCCTGGGAGCTTACACCTGGCGGCGGCTGGTTCCTTTTGGCTTGCAGAGGGTTTTTTTTTTTGGGGGAGGGGGGGCAGACAGAGCGCCCTCTCCCTAGCAATGGACTGGCAGGTCTGCACCTGCATCGCAGCCCAAGGAGCATGAGCATGTGCGAACACCCTCTCTGGGTGCTTCCCAACAGACAATTCTGTTACCCCGATCCCGTGAGCTGGCCCTTCCCCGCTCCCAGGGACTTCCCCTGGAGGAGGGTCCAGGTGCCCATCACCCAGGGCACAGGTACCCAACCGCTCAGGCCCCCTCCTCTGCGCCTTCCTGGCTGGTCACCCCAGTCCTCTCGCTGGCTTCTGCCTCCTGTGGACACAGGGACAGGAGTCGGCTCCTCGCAGAGAGGGGAGCCCGGGCCCCGGAGTCAGCGGGCACACCCCACTTCAGCTCGGAGCACCCCCAAGCCCAGCCAGGGGGACAGGAGGAAGGAGAAGGTGGCTTACCTTTGGAGGTGCGCCTTTGTTTGGTCTGCAGAGATGAGAAGGTGCCCATGACGGCCCCCATGGCAGCCAAGACTGGAGTTGGGACCCGGGCCCTGCCCCTCCCCTCCCCTGGCGAGAAATCAGTGCGGGTCCCCCACTCGGAATTGGCGGAGAAAGGGGGCGCCGGGCAGCTCGCTGGCAGCTTGGTATTCAGCGAGCGCGCAGGGCCAGGCGCCGGGAGCCTTGCCGATCAGCCCCGCACATGCACGGGCGCACAGGGCCACTGGCTCCCGCCGCCGAGCCCCCGGAGCCCGGAGCCCAGAGCCCGCCCGGCTGCTTCCTTCCCTGCGGCCGCCGAGCGCGGTGCAGCCGCCTGGCTCTGGCCACGGGGCGGGCGCCGCGCGTGGTGCGGGAGCCGCGGTCCGCCCTCCCCGCCCGCCGCACGCCGGGCTCCCTCCCCGCGGCTGGGTCTCCGGGGGCCGCGCACTGAGCATGAATGAACGGAGCGGGATGCGCTGCCAGCCGCGCCCGCCGCCTGCCGCCTGCCGCCTGCCCGCTGGAGGCAGCCGGAGCCGCGCACCAGCCCCCGGTGGGCGGGAACCCCGGAGGGCGGGGCGGGGCGGCTGCTGCCCGCGCCCCTGCGGAGAGGAGTGTGCCCACTCCATGCACCTGGCTGATGGGTGGGGCAGCAGATTGCTTCTGGGATAACGGGTAAGGGTTGCCTTATCTCATTCTACTCCGGGGGAATCGTTTTTAATTCACCCCCTGAATTCATGGGGTGGGGGCCAAATCTGCCCTACCCCGCGGAGGGGATGAACACACATCCCACAGGCGTGTCCTGGGGGGAGGGGCCCTCCTGCTCCTCCAAGGCCCGGGCCACCTGCCAATGGCAGAGGTGAGGACAGAGAAAGAGCCCCAGCCCAGTGGTCGGCAAACTCACTAGTCAACAGAGCCAAATATCAACAGTACAACGATTGACATTTCTTTTGAGAGCCAATTTTTTTTAAAACTTAAACTATATAGATAAGTACATTGTTATTAATTTCATTAGAGTACGTGGTATTTTGTGGATGAGCCACGCTCAAGGGGCCTAAGAGCCGCATGTGGCTTGTGAGCCACAGTTTGCCGACCCCGGCCCTAGCCCCTCTCTTTCTCCTTTGGCTGTCTCTTTCCTCACTCTCTCCCTCCTGTCTTCCTCTCCTCCCACCCAAATGAACGAGCCACCAGCGATGGCAGGCTGTGGGCTAGTGCTGAACTTAAAAAGCCGTCTGCCTGCTGTGACTTCTCGTTCCAGACCCCACAGACCACCACCTTATTTCAGCTCCTCGTGCAAAAGGACAAAGTTAGGGTGCTCCCCTACAGGCCAGCTCCTGGGGGTGCTGAACTGCAAGGCTTGCTCCCCAGAAGCCTGAGAAGGAGGGACCCCTCCCCAGCTGGGAGCTGCCTGGGTTCCCATGACACACCACATCTTCAGGTCGAGGGTCCCAGAACATGTGGCCTCATGAGCACATGCAAACACATGGCCACATAAACAAATGGGCAGGGGTCCTGCAAGCCCACATAGACATTGCTGCGGTACACACAGACATACACAGACACACACAGAGACACACAGACACACACAGACACACACAGACACAATGCAGCCACAGGTGCAGCCACAGGACCCCACACAGGCATACAGCCATCCCCTGAGGGCACGGAGCTCCCCAGGGGCTGCTTCCCCTCATTCCAGCCCACCAGCCACCTTTCAGGGGCTCAGGTGTCCTGAGTAACTCGTTGCCGATCCGGCACGTCATGCCTTCTCAAAGCTAAACATGGGTCCTACGTGGCTCAACAGGGAAGGAACATTTCATAACATCCACCCTTTTGTCTGTGGTGCCCGATACTGTATAACCCACATGACCCCTTGTTCCGCGCGGTAGGCAGGTCACGTCTAATCATCACCAAGGAGAGAAACGGAGCTTCCCGAGGGGAAGGCATTTACCCGAAGTGACCCAGACAGGATGTGGGATGAGGACTTGGAGCCCAGGGCTCTGTCACCACCTCCTGTTGGGGGCCACGGAATTGGGGAGAACTCCTCTGGGCGCCCCCGGATGCAAAGCCTCAGCTCTCTTAACTGCCAGTGCTTAGCTGTCTAATCCATGAGGCCCGGAAGCCTGGATGATGGACCCTGCCTCCCGCCTGTCCTCCCTGCTAAAGATTCATTCGCCCAACAAATATTTATTCGCTCATATATCAACCACAAACCAATATTTACACGCACAACAGCTCATTCACTCCTGATGACGCGGAGTGGTGGGCATTATCTAGAACAATAGACACCTGCAATGCATGATGCAGTCAGCTCACCAGGAGATGCTGGTCAAGAATGCACCTGAAGAGGAACACATGCTGACTGCGAGGGACAAGAGAGAACAAGGCAGCAGACCCACCCCTGCCTCTGGGGACTTGTAACAGAGAGAGCAGGGCACTCTGGGGAGACAGGGTGCTTCCCACAGTCACCTGGCTGCCGGGGCCATTTACTCTGCCGGCCCCATCCAACCTGGGCATCAATGCTGGGGGCTTCTTCTAACCCGGCAGGTGAGCTACCTTGTGCCCTGTCCCCAAGTCTGCAGCCCCTCACCCACTCTGCCATAGACTGGATGTCTGTGCCCCCTCCCAAGTTCATACGCTGAAGCCCTAACGCCCAGGGTAGGGTATATTTGGAGGTTCAGCCTCTGAAAACGTACTGAGGGTTCAGTGAGGTTGTTGGGTGGGGCCCTGATCCCACAGAATTAGTGCCCTCAATGTTCTCAGAAGGATAGATATCAGAGAAGCACCTGACTCCCCACTTGTGACCCAGTGCAGCCTGTGAGCACACAGGAAGGAGGGGAGGATGGCCACCTGCAAGCCAAGGGTGGAACCCTCCCCAGACACCAGCCTTGCTGGCTCCTTGGTCTGACTTCCTGTCTCCAGAACCGTGAGACATAACTTCCTGCTGTGGAAGTCACCCAGTCCGTGGTGCCCGAGCAGACAGAATATACCCTCGGCACCCACCAAGCCCTCAGAATCTCTGGGAGCAATGCCTACCCTTCCCTCTGCTGTGAGCGCCCATATAGGATGCCTTAGGGCGCCCCTGGGAGGCTGTTTGGGGAGGAAGGGGTGAGGCGTCAGAGACCTGCATGAGCCTGTGGCAGCCTGCATGTGCTTGCCTGTGTGTGTGTGTAACGTGTCTGCTCCCCCCTCATCACCGTTCCCTCCCATTCTTGCAGGGAAGAAAAGCTCACTGTGTCCTGGCACACATGGAGGCAGCAGCGTCAGATTAGGAGCCCGGATTGGGAAGGGCTAGATCTGGGTTCAAATCCTGATTTTGCCCCTCATTAGCTGTGCGATGTTGGGCCTGACTAGTACTTACTCTGAACCCCACCTTGACCTCTGTGCACTGCCTCTCGGTGAGGAGGGCGAGGTCAGGTCTGTGAGACTCCAAGCAGGCACCTGGCACATCACGTGGCCAGTTACGGAGGGGAAGCTGCCAGCGTCCTATTGCCCTGAGCCAGGCGTCGTGCTGGGCTGCAGGGGAATGAGAACGAGGGAGCCGCAGCTGCCCCTTCGCTTCCATCTTTGCTCCTCCTCTGCTGCAGGTCCCATCTGGTGGTAAAAGACTCAGCTTAGCTAAGGGAGGGAGTGTGGCTGGCACCTGCTTACGTGCAGCTCAGCACTCCGCTAGCTGCTGTCTTGTACCGTTTCCCAATGTCCCGCATGCGTACGCCTGGCCTCCTCCAAAGGACTCCGAGATTTTGGAAAGCAAAGCAAGCCCCGCCCCACTGCCCCTGCCCCCACACCCCAGGCTCAGCCTGGCCCAGGACGTCCTCCACAAACACTCACCAAGGCCACTGGGGCAGGGGAAGGGGCGCCATGGCTGAGCCTGGGACCGAGTCCCACTTCTTTTCCTAAGCGTGAATCTGGGCTGGGGCGGCTTCACCTGTGAGGCTGTGTGAGCACTGGGGTGGGGGGGGTATGAGGGGATTTCAAGTAAAGAAAAGGGGCTTTGTCTCCCCAGGAAGCACTCTGCAAACGTCCTTCATTATTATTTGCTCTGAGGCTCATCAGGTTATTCCCTCCTTCATTCAACAAACATTTATGAAGCACCGTCTGCCTGCCGGGCACTGTTCTAAGTGTATGGACGGACCGGTCGTGAGCCAGGAGAGCAGGAGCCGTGCCTTCAGCAAGCTGCACGCCAGTCCCTCTCATCCCTGCAAGCTGCCATCAGGCCGGGACGGGGAGCAGGGGAGCGGGGCTTTGGAGGGGGCAGCACAGGAAGCCAAGTAGGATAACCATTGCAAAGCACAACATGACGTCACTAGTCCATGTAGGTCCTCAGAAGGCAGGGATGAGAAGACAGTTTTCAAGTCGGGGAGACTGGGCTTCACATGCACAGGGCAGGGGTGGGGGTGCTCATGACCTTGAGCAAGTTATCTGACCTTTCAAAGCCTCAGCTTCCACAAGCAGAAAAAAATACCACCAATGCCAGCTGCAGGGAGAGGCTTGAAGGTGTCCATGATCACAAAAGTCCCTGGGACCGTGTCCCCAGCTGGAACAGTCCTGACTCTGAAAACGCTGACTTCCACATTCCTCAGTTTCCCCTTTCCATCTGCTTTGCAAGCAACGCTTCCCCACCGCTGCAGTGGGACAGAAGGCCTTGGAATGGGACAGGGGCTTGGGCAGTGCCTGTCATGGCCGCTGCCTCATGCATGAAGCATGTCCTCATCTGTGGAGGCTGATCACGCGCCTTCGGGAATCAGGACTGATGTGGCTGCAGGGGACGCGGGAAGCCAGGACACAGGCTCCGGCTTTCACGTCCCGATGGCCTCACGGCCAAGGGTTCCCTTCATGCTCCAGCGCTGCAGCAGTCTCCCCAGGGCTGAGATGAGTTCAGACAGAGGGCAGCCATCCCCATGAACCCGATGCGGGCAGCAAAGCCCTTCCGGGTTACCCAGACCCAGGGAGCGGGGGCACATTCCAGAGCGTCTCAGCCTTCAGGATCTGAAGCTATGTTATATGTGAGACCAGCGAGGTCCCGGCGCCAGCACCAGCCAGGCA